ATCATTGAAAGAGCCGATTTGCAAACTATGGAAACATAAGAAAGTCGTAGAACACCACCAAGGAGAAGAAATAGAAATAATGTGTTTTTTTTATATTTATAATCGTTATTATGGACAACCTAAAGCGGCTATGAGTAAGGCTATTTGTTGAAAACACTAAAAAACCAGATCAGCTTTTGAAAAATGATAGGATATTTACAAGAAATGTTGATTATATCAATCTGTTATGTACATCTTGAGTATTCCATTATCTTTGATTTGAATTTTTATAAAGTCATAAAAAATTATGACTGTTATTCGTTTAAAATAACACCTGTAATACTTAGCACTTGCTCGATTTCGAGCAACAGGGACACTAGTTACCTTTATAGAGCGTTCTAATAACAAAATTATATTTATCTTTTAGATTTTTATGCTGAAATAAGTTTATAAGAAGCTTTAAATTCTATAGTTTACATAATAGGATTATAGTCTTGCATTTACTGTTAATTTCGATGAAAATGTACAAGAAAAAACTTAACTTTACATCAGTCACTTACTTGACCTACATTTGATCATTCTTAACTTGGAACTTAAACATGTTAGTGGATTGTCTACAAGCGTTTTTAAAGTCGAAATTATGACATATATTCTGCTACATTGAAGGTGTAGGGCGGAATAAAATTGAATGAGTTCGCGAACCAGCACGATCAGACCATGGGGACAGGGTTTTACGGGGGGTTTTATGGAGTAAAAATGAATTTTTCTCATTTTTGACCCTCAAAACACAAAATTTCCCAATTTCTCTCTATTTTAAATAGGTAAAAAATAATTTAGTTTAAAGTGTTTGTGTACAATTATTGGTTACAGAGAAAATAAAAAAATCCAAATTTAAAATTCCAATGTTTTTCTTATGGAAAATATTGTAAATGATGTAGTTTGTTTGTTTATGGAAATATTTTGATCAAAATTGGCGAATTTATTTATTTTATACTAAGATACTACTATTTTACTAAAAAAAAAACTCTTTATTAGCCTCCCTGTAGTAGCAAACGTAGGTACTCGTTAAACCTATTGTTATTTAAATAGATTTAATTTCAAATCAATTCAGGTAAATGAAAATTCACTTAGTCTGCAGGTTTGCTGTGGTGGGGGTGTTTCAAATATAAGATTCAATAAACCACTATGATCTTTTTAGTTACATACCACCTTGCTTCAAGCCTGGGTGCTTCAAGAATTCTAACGGTTCATGAATCATTGGCTCCGTTGAAGTAATGAAGTATACTGTAGTGCTAATGCTTTCTGCTTCATATACTTTATTTTCTGTACGGTTATTGTCTAAAATTACTAATACCGTAAAAATCGTTTAAGATAGATTGAAAAATATGTTAAACATAAACGTTAAAACTTTTCCAGGTTAATAGTAGTTTACGCAACGATTGCGTTAAGACTATTTACGCGAGTTGCGTACACTACTTTACCTACGACAGTTTTTTTAGTAACTAATTAATTACTAACAATTACTACTCATAACTTCTAAGAGAGTTTATGTTTTCGTTTATAACCTCAATGCCACTGACGGTGTGCAACTAATCGAAACACTCATCAACAATTAAATTGGTCTAAACAGCTGATTAGTTCACGTTCGAAGCATACAATTTTACTTATTCTCTCTCAATCCTTGAACTTCATTGGTCCGTTACCGGTGTTGTAAGAATAACTATGCTGTTATGAGAGTAAACAATGCTAAACAATAATGAAATAATAATACAGCTGAATGGTGAAAATTATTTATATGCCATTTACATTTAAAATTTAAGTGTGATTTTGTAGTTACTCACAAAAAGAAAAACGAGGAACTTTAATTCTAAGAACTTAACTACTACTACTGGGCTACTTTAAAAAAGCGGTCGTAGGTAAAATATATTTTCATATGATTTTGTGGTAAGTACAGATGAACACCCTCTAGTGCTAAATGTATCTTAAACTCTAAAAAAACTGCATGGTGAAAATAATGATTATGCCATTTACATTTAAGATTTAAGTGTGATTTTGTAGTTTGAATAATCACTACAATAGAGGTTTCAGTATCTCATTCCGTTCCACCCTACATTGTTGTTAAATCAGCAAACGTAAATTACACACTACTTTTCAGTTTTGCAGTCTTATTTGAGACGGAACTGATAAAGGGTAATTTTTTATTTATTAAAATAATAATTTACATCACTGTGTTATATGTTTTAATATTATCAAGTGGCATATTAACAAATTTATTTAATTTGCAGATGATATTAATTTTTGTATCTACATTTTTGACTATACTTGTATCTGTATTGTAACTTTGTAATTGTAATTGTAATTTTTGCTAACTCCTTATGGAGGTTATTTTTTGATAATACGAGTTGTTATTTTTTTTATTATCCTACTCATTTAAAAAATAGTCAGTTATGAAGTTGAAAAAGATAAATAACAAATAACCTGAAAGCTAAACATAATTAGAAATTGAAAAGTTATGAAAATAGAGCAATTTGGCTCTTGCCACGATGCACCGCTGGCAAGTAGGCTACAAGCGGGTAGGAGGAAGATATATCACGACTTTTATAATATATTGGAAAATATTTTTGCTGTTAAAAAAATGTAAAAAATCAAAATTAAAACTAATAAATTTGTTGACCAAAATACAGTTATAAGTGTGTGTTTAATGATTTCCTATGAACAGGTTCTTAAACCGTACACGTGGCATATCGAATTCCAGTAGGTTAACTCGAAGAGAAAAGATTCAACTTAGAGATTAAATTTACTATATATACAGATTCACTTTGGCGTGGGGTTATAGAAATATTATTTCGATTTAACAAACTTATACAACTAAAATTATTTCCTTCAAAGCCTATGAATTGTTTTCGACAGTTAAATTGTATGATTTTCACAAACAATCTTCAGGTGGATGTTTATTCTGTCTACACATTAATCAAATTCCTTAAGTATAATTTACCATGAAGTACAAATTCAGGCTAACAATTCTAACATGGGAAACTCCAATACCTAACCTAGGCTAACTCACCATACATACCACATAAGATAAAAAAAGGAAAAATTTAAATTCCGTTTTCAAAGAAATTTAATTTCATATTTTCAAACCACTCCAACCACAGTAACACTAAACTTAAATCAAATCCAATGTCTATGGGGGACTCATTGTTCTGTTTCAAACCCCATGAGACAATTGATTCGAACAAAACTAAAACCTAACGCAAAAGCTGACAAAGCAGTCTCCATGGTCAACTATCATTCTCCATGGTTTCTTAAGCAAAATTGGCAAACGAAAAGAAGAAAATTAGAAGCAGCTAAAATCGAAAGTAAAAGTCGGTGACACCTCCAAACAATACCTTTCCTCAGCGAATGCAAAACGAAGGACAACGACCCAGGACCAGCTCCTGGGGCGCCCCGCCGGTGACTGTCAGGTGAGGCTGGAGGTTGGACTCCCCTCCCCGGTCCTTTGGAAGGTGCATCGGAACCGATCGCTAATGGGTCATGCCTCAACAGATACGAGGTTGCATTCGTGTGCAGACAGTTAAAACCCGGTCCTACCGTGAGCGGGGGCCGGTGGCTGGTCACGTGATGGGCGACGGCGTGAAATGTTTGAGGGAGTGAAAATGATGCAGAGTTGTACAGAGATTTGTAGATGAACGTTTATGACCTAGGTGTAGTTAGTTTCTTGAAGAGTAATGGTTTACATTTGGGAATATTGAAGAGGTATTGTGAAACTGATGGAAAATTACTTTGATGATAATCCAAGAAATTGTGTTTACTTGTAAATGTTGTATGGTTAATTGTTTGGAACTCAGCATGAATAACACGTGATGTCAGCTGAATGTAGAACTTACACAAGGTTTAATTTGTATAGAAATTATATTCGGGTACATAATAATGCGAGATTTTACACTGTTGTCCGTATAAACAAACGTATAAGCCTGACACTATATCGTTGGGTTAGGATTGCCGACAGAAAAAGAAACATTTTTGAACAAAGTTTCGTTTAAATTCACCTCATGATGGATTTAAGTGGCAAGCCGTTAATAGTAAAATAATCTCAGAACCAAGCCTACCAAAATCTGAAGTTTGAACACCTTATTCTCTAAAGTCTCGATCGGTTCTCACTCAATAGAGACATAAAAATACAAATTTCTCTGGAAGAGAAACATTAAAGTAAGAAAATGAGAGTCCTTAAGTTAAGCCCGGAATAAGATTGACAATGAGACAATGACTCCCTAATTGTTTATTGGGCTATCCAGTCAATATGAACAATGTGATACGATGAACGAAAAAACCTGAAGAGAAAGAGGATGATGAAAGTGAGAAAAAGTGTCCCAATGTTTAAATGTTTGAATAAGTTTGATTACATGATTTCCTAAGGCTTCAAAGGGTTTTCCACTTAGAGGTATGACGATATGAAGGAAAAGCTAATGCATGGAGATAAGATGAAGATAAACATAAAGAAATGCGCACTGTACTAAATATCCAAAGTCTTAATAAATTTGATTCTCAATTCTCTAAAGGCCCATAATATTCTTCAGTAATTGGATTGTCGCAATGAAGATTTGAGGAAAAGACTGTATATAGAGGCAAGAAAATAGTGGAGTGACACGAAGAATAAATACCTAGAGACACGAAAACTAAAATAATTAATTAATGCCAAAATAACAACGTTTTAATAAATCTGATTCCCTAATCTTCTAAAGCCCCGTAAGATTCTTCACTCGTTGGAATATCGCAATGGAGATTTGAAGATAAGACTGCATATAGAGGCAAGAAAATTTAAAATGAGAAAATAAGACCCACAATATCAAAGTCTGTATAAATTGGATTCCCTAATGCCTCAGTGAGTTCTCCACTAAGCATGCACGACGATGAGCCTGGAGAAGAAATGGAAAATGAAAATGATAAAATGAGCGCAATAAATTATAAAGGTGAAAGCCATGCATTTGCTTCATTGAAGTGCATGAGAAGAGTAGACATACCTTTACAAGGGTGACAAGGCACTCCGCCGCCCAACACTCTCCAGAAGAATAGTGCTCCGGCGTCAAGATCCTCCGGACTCCAGGCTGTTCCAACCCCCTTGGAGGCGCAACACTCCTCTCTTGTCACCTTCTCGTCCAGAAGCTCCGTGCAGCGACCGTCGCGGACCATGGCGGACCAGCAGATGCCTCCTAGAAACACCGTGGACAATGGAGAATAATTGTCAGTAAACAAGCTGAAATGGTCCAGTGCTCTTGGGCTAAAGTTGTTGTGGGCCAACCTAGGTTGTTAGATGCTGGACCTAGGTGCTTTTTGGTTTCGGGGTTTCTTTTCCCTCCAGTTACCTGCCAGCGTGGGATTCCTTGAACATATTTGTAGCACGTAAAGTATTTGTTGTATTGCCGCACTGCAGTATTTCAACCAAACAACACAAACAACGTGCTTTTAGTATGCACTAATCCGTGTACGTTTGAACAAGTTGGCAATACTTAGATACTACGGCTACGATCAGCTAGTGCAGTTTCTCATTTTGTTATTTCTTGGATTTAACCTAACCTAAAAACGTGTCGTATATTGTTTGAAATACTAATTATTTCTATGCTTTATAGTAACTTTAGGAAAATATAATGTGTAACACGAGCGCAAAGTGTCACTTTGCTCGCTAGTTACACAAATAACTATTCTGTGTGATTAGTTTTGAAATTACAATCATATGGGAGGTGTGTTGTGCTAAGTTGGTTGTATTGAGTATTGTGTATTGTTGAATGTATTGTACTGAATGATCATGTTACAACCCAACGTTCAATAAATTACAGCCATCTGATTGGTCTACATAAACAAGTTTCCCCTTCTGTACTCCCAGTCATCAGAAAATCCCACCCGGACATTTAGAACTATTTAAAGAACTCATCAAACTAGCAATGTTCAAAAACACGAGCTAATCCAGAAGTCCAATACTCGCGTAGGAGTTTGCCGGAGAAAAACCGGACTGACATTGAAAAACTGACCCGCCTCAACGCGACGCGGACCATCGAAGATCAATTATCCCCGAGTGGAAACCAACGGGACAAAATACAAATTGGTGACTGGAACGAGGCGCAGAATAATAACGAAGAATGCAAAGTGAAAACCACGCATGCGAGACAAGCAATTGATTTGGCTCCCTTTCGAATTGCAACGGTTGAAGTTTGCAACGCCGACCTTGAGTATGTTGCACTTGGACTTTTTATGGGGGTGTGGAAAATTGACTTATGTTTTTTCTTGGCGAATCTGTGTTGTGGATTGTGGATGGGTTAGTGAAACAAGTAAGAGAAGAGAAGTATAAGAGGACTGCCACTGTCAAAATTCGCATATGCAAATGGAGGTTATGTACACTAGCCTAACCTAACCTAACCTAATACAACTGACCCAACCTGACTTAACCTAACTTATATAGGGCAAAATGTTATAGTGGTGGCACTCTATTAGAACGACCTGAAAAGAGATTATCCCTTTCACGCTAAGAGATCTTAAACCTGGTCTTGTTTTCACGAAAGTGGTTGACAAGATTAGCCCACAATCTAAAAGTAGCCAGAAAAACACACAACAATTGAACAACTACTTTAACCACTTTTGATGATAGCGAATAAAATCTGAGGCCGTATAAGTTATCCAATATTATGTTCTTTTCATATCAAACATACTTTACAATAGTAGACCGGTAGAGTAGATACACCAAGTAAGTAAAGCAGTCAATATAGGTAAATACTTTAAACCTAACCGATTTTGTTTCACAATTTTTTCAATAACATAATCCACTAGCAATAGATGAAAAGAATCGATTGGTGTAAGAAGTAAAGATTTGTTAGATCTATTAGACAATAGGGATTATCTCAAACAGTTAAAGCTTCTCAACTACATCTGGGTTGATGGCTTAAGCTCGGCTTACTAAGAGGAAATACAATATGTGTCCAATCAAATCAACCATTAACTTTGCAATGTAAATTCCAATATACTGTTCTTACCGGCTTGTACTTGCTAATTTGTCAGTTTATCTGACCTAAAAAACTGACGTGGAAATTAAAAAGGGATTTGTAAGGATATGTACATTTTCTTTCCTAATTTTCACGTAAAACAAAAAAAATTGCAAACTAAAATAAAAAAACAAGTTACAGTATTTACAGTAGATTCCCAATAGCACTGAACATCATAGCTAACTATGAATATCAGCTCATCGGCAATGAAGTAAAGAAAACAATGATACCAACATAGTAAACTTGCTTGGTCATTAAAATGTGTATGACAGTACTTTTAATTTGGGTAGCGGAAAAATTATACCCTGTATATTAATTTTCCATAGCAATAAAGTACGACTATCAAGTGAGATTACGACAAATTTCGAGAAACAAATGGTTTTATTAATGCTGCAAAATCAACGAAAACTGTTCACAAACGGGACATTTCTCGAGCAACAAGTCGGTTTAAAGTACAGTTAGAAGTTTGCCCTGGGTTAAAAGGGGAGGCTTGGAGGAGTCAGGTCAATATCAATTACTACTACAACTTTACTACGCAACGTCACACTGTGCGTGTGCGTGAGCGTGCGTCGGTGTTGGAATCTCATTCATAAGGTCTGCTCTGCTGAAGTGGCCATTTAATGCGTTGCCGACCAGGGCTAAATTGTTGGTTAATTTGAATACATTATTTATTAAATGTGAAGTAAAGCATTAAAAACAGAAAACTGACGACGCTTAAAATTTTGGATTTAAATTAACTCTTTTCAATGTATCTTGGAAGGTTTTTAAATTATAACTCGCTAATACGTGAGCTCTCAATTAATATTGTGGTAAATTTTAGCTGGGCACTTGGTTGCTCTACGCATACTGGTTTACGAACATAAAGTGCATTCTTATTCAAAATGTTAGAAAACAGGAGTGCTAAAATATTTCTAAAGTTGTATAGCATCCACTTTTGAAAGTTAAGGATGTTTTACTTCTACACACTCCACAATATCGATAGGTAAAGTGAAGTAAAAAGAATCGACAATCGTTAATTTTCTTACTTTTAGTTTACTATCCGTATGTTATAATTTGTACCGTCAGTTTGGGTTGTAAGGGTAGGAATAGAGATTGGCTTGGATTAATATAATAAATACTTTTATTTACCATTCTCATGAAATAAAAGTTATTTGCTGTATTACCGTAGTACTCGTATTTATGGGTACATCTATAGATCTGGATTTACATGCAACCATGCAGTAGTCATGGTCATGGTGCAGTAGTCATTTTAGGCTTGTAGGTTCCCCAAGAGCCAAAGATTATGAAAACATTCATAATCAGTGAAAGTTGAATGATTGAACGTGCACAACAATAATTATTTGCACGATTTTGCGAACCAAGCCAATTCATGGAATCGTTGAAAGGGGTTTGAGGGTAGCATATGTTCCAAAAAGAGGTTTCGTCAAACTTTTGTATAGAAAATATGAGTGAGTTTAACCAGATTCCTTAGTTCATAAAGTAGTACCTATTTTCCCATTGCCAATTGCCAATCTCTGTGAAGTGCTTTAAATGCAATGGTTAGATATACAATCCTTATAGAAATTTCTACGAAACACTACTCTTCCTAATAACGGACGAATTTGTACAAACCAGGTGTCAAAATTAAGAATTTGTGATGTAGACGCCGCCTTTCACCAATTCCTGTGATAAACGTCCTTGGGCTTTGCCCCACAGGGCATCAAAATGCCAATACAGTTCTTAAGAATAAAATATTTTGTTTACTTAAACTGACGAAGTTGTATTAATTATATACTACAACAGCTGTTGATAGTAAACACATGATACACACAAGAGCGTTCGTTTTCAGATTGAGGTCGTAGTTTGGTAGTTTCGACAACTGGAGTGGAGTGATTGATTTAAATACCTTTGAGTTGACTCTTTTCAGTCATCGGAAATTATGCCTGTTATTCGTGTTGAACTAACGCCTGAAATACTTTGCAATTACTCGAGTTCGAGCTACAGGTACACTAGTTATATATTTTTTGTAACATTTTATATTTTGACTTTTATGGACCCTTATTGTCTAGACGGTCTCACTGATGACTAATACAACTAGGATTAAGGAAAAACGCACATATAAAACGGTTTTGTTTACGGATAAAACACTATATCCACCGTCTAAACATGTCAATTGTTTCAAGACAATTATTATCCTTGTGGAAAATTCCACAATGTTCATTTTCCAGTATTGCAGAACACGCTATTGTATTCAGTAGACTCGTGCTTCGCCTGAAGGTATCTACAGGGAGTGTTCGTGTTCAATGCAAGGTGTATACAGTATTGTTCAAAGCCTTCTGAACTACTCAAGATCAGAAGGATCCGATTTGTAAGTTGAAGACATCTAAATTTTTTTTATAAATTCGTCATTCAACTTTTGAAAACAATGTTGCATCCAATAACTTATGGGGCTAGATTACGTTAAACAATTGTTTTATAATGTCCAAAATACGTCACATTAAGTCACACCACGTCATACCACGCCACACTTCTTTACACCGCACCATACCAGTCCACATCATGTCATACAAGACGATAACATGTCACATTACGTCATATAACGCCTCATCACGTCACATCATGCCACACATCCACTTCATGACGTCAAATCACGCCACCGTCACATCATGCCACACATCACGCCACTCTCGCGTCTACAACGTTGTTGTCGACCTGATTACAAGAACGTCTGTTTCTGGAATAGTGACTCCGTGTTTTTCTACACCTGCTCTAAAGACAAAACATAATTCAAGACTTAACACTCAGGTTAGACATCTGCAACAATATATCCGCTTTAGCATTGATAGAGAGGGAAACTCCATTGGACATTTATACAGTAAAAACTACGGGTTTAATTTGATTCATAATGTTTATATTCGATTTTAAGGGGGTTGGTGCACTAAAAAAATATTCCAAATATGATTTTATACTGCCATTTTGTAGCCTTAAATCTCCTGTTTCCAACCATATTCAACAGTAAGTAAGTTATTGACCCTAAATATTATACAGGGTGAATAAAAAGTCAAGAACCCCCCATCTAATATTTTTCCAAGTAAATATACAGAGATATCCTTTTGGTGGTCGTGCAACCTTAGCAGGAAGTTTCATTTTATGATTTTGAAATTTTTGAGTGTCCCCCCAAAAGGGAGGATTTGGGGGGT